TGTTATCTATAGTTTGCGTAAAAATCAAAAATCATTTTCATTTTTATTGATATATCAAAGTTTTTTGATTATAGCTTTGAAATATTAATTCATATTTTAAGAAATATTTTTTGTTTTATGTGAAATTATATTATTTTTATCTGAAACTGGATATTTCTCATAAATAGCTTTAAACTACAAATTAATTTTTAAAAACATCTGAAACCCTATTCAAAAGTCTCGATCAAAACCCGGGTCACTGTTTTCGGGGTACACAACAAAAACTAAAAGTTATTTTCAGAGACAATATTTCCATATCTTATTAACTAATCATAAGAAATATTTCAATTTCTGATCTCCGATTCATTTTTGCTTTTCAGACACTTATGACTACTTTTTTGGCAGACATTAGTATAAATCATATTTATTTTTCAACACAAAAAACAGTTCAAAAATTTATGCCTTAAATCTCCAAATAAATGATATTTTTCGGTGACCTTAACTTCATGCGATTACAGTCTTTTGAAATATAAGATATCGCTAAATATATAATAAAGACATTCATTTGGGAATAAAATATCACTTAATTTATTGCATATTATATATAGAGATTAATAAAATAAAAAGTCAGGGTAAATCAGGAGTTATTATTATACATTTAGTGTGTATTCGTAAATTCATATTATAAAAAATGTTTGTTTAATTTAAACTCATTGTAAATTACATTGAAATCGAAATTTATTTCATTTTGCAATTTTCTGTATTCATTTCAGTATTTGCTTATTTTTTTTATGTAAAATAATCATTTAAATCCGCTTTTCATTTAATTGCATTAAAAATAAAGTCTTTCGAAACGAATTTAAATGAAACTTCACTTTTAATGTGGATTTGTGCACAAATCCATTGAAATTTATTATACATAATAATAATGGGAGAAATTGTTTGACAATCAGAGAGAAAGAAAGCATTTCTCAGTATTTGTCACATAAATCAATGTGTAATTCGTTTGTAGATTTCAATTACGAGTGAAAGGCTTTGAAGTAAATTATATAATATAGTCATAAAAACAGACCATAACCGGAAAGGTATAACTCATTCACCGGGTATTGAGTCCACGTATGGTCTCTCTGTCTCTCTGTCTCTCTCTCTCTCTCTCTCTCTCTCTCTCTCTCTCTGCCAATGGTATGGCATGTGTTACCCCCTAAGCAATCATCGCATAGAATGTGTGATGAATGGTGTTTATATGGGACTCCTATCATATCCTATGATAATATGAATGCATAGCTTTGCACACAATTCTTACGGCCGACACAATAGCTATAGTCATGTATTGAATGGTCATTTGTTAGGTGTTTATGAATATCATTATTATTCAAATTTCTCTTAAGTTATGCCTTTAAATTGCATGTCTTGTTATCTAATTTTCTTAGTACCGGTGCACTCAAACATACCTATCATTGAACACTAGATATCCTATTCTTAGATATATCTCTACTGTGTATATCGTGACCGAAACCTATAGGCGCTGTCTGTTATGCATACGTTGACCAACTGTTGGCTTAACATTTAACTTATATTATATGTAAAATTTATTTAAATAATTTTTTTTGTTACTTAACATATATATTGAGAAAATTATATTTGATTTTGAATCATGTTTTTGCACTTAATTTCCATAAATTAATCAATTTTTTGTTAATCATTTTTTGCATCAAAAATATTTTATAAGAGATTTAGTGAACACACAAAATATATATTCATAACCTTTTCGGCAAAAAAAACTCTATCAACAAGGTATGTAACGTTATATCTACCTGTCCATAAGATGTATATTACATTTATTACCCATCGTTTATATCCTGAAAATTATAATAAATGGTGTTTTATTTAACCATATTTTGTAATTAATTGTTAGATTCAATGATAAGATGTTTGGTATCGTTGAATGACTATAAAGTTATGAGAAAATTATTTTATTAATAAAATGTGTAATAATAAACAAAATATTAAACCATGAAATTAATAATTAATATTTTGCGGTACTAAATAAATAACACGTTATATAAAAGGGTCATTGTTAATCAATCTGTAATATGAGTTAACAAAAAATAAATTGAAAATATAATTGAAATTTTATAAAAATATTTAATAATAAAAATTTAAATAATAATTAAATAAGTAATTCAGAATCCACAATAAAATTTTAATATACTTTTTGTTTACTACAATTATAATTTTATTAAATTACTGTCTTAAATGTTATATACTGTATTAATTTTTATCCAAGAAGTTTATTTAAGCTTAGAAATTGAACACGTTATATAAAAAGTTTATTTCTAATCAATCTCTTAAATTCATGGTATTAACAAAAATTATACTGTATTCAAACAAAAATATTAAAAATTATATGAAACCAATATCTAATAATTGTTTTAATACCAAAATACATTTTGTTATATTGAATGAATGAATGAATATGATAAATATTGTAGTGAAAGCCAATAATATATAATTAAAAATTTATTTTGTACGTGAATAATATATTATTATTTAATTACAACTTTAAATATTATAAATTATTTTATTAAAAATAATTTTTTAGGAGGTTAATTTTTATGATTCTGTTTATTATAAACAAAAACAAAGAATTTAATGTTTATTTTAGATAAATCTTTGCAAATACACAGACAATGGCTTAGACCGCAAATTCCACTTATTTTCACAAATATATATAATTCTTATATTATTTAAAGAAATATTATTCAAGCACTTGAGGACATGCATGGCCAAGAGGTATGGTAGGTCTGGGCATACCGTTTACCAGATGTGGCAACTGTTTAGTCGAAGTCTTTTAAGGGACTCATAGACTATAAACACTCAACATTATATAAAGAGTAGGATATAAGTAGTAAAAACATTGCAAACTGTCTATTGTGTGGTCACAACGAGTACCATTGCTCTCATACCAGTGCTCTGGTACTACCAGGGCCTAAGTGCAGGTCAACCCCACTTAACATAAGACTATTTAAGACTATTTATAAGGCTTTTGAGTAGTAGACTGACTGAGTGAGTGACCGAAACCTATAGGCGCTGTCTGTTATGCATACGTTGACCAACTGTTGGCATAACATTTAACTTATATTATATGTAAAATTTATTTAAATAATTTTTTTTGTTACTTAACATATATATTGAGAAAATTAT